CTCTGCAGATTAAATAGTTATAGTTTCTGCAGATTAAATAGTTTAGTTTAGTTTAGTTCAGAATTTTCTTTAATAGCTGGTGTATGTATGCAGATTAAATTGTTTTAGTTTAGTTTCTGATTCAGAATTTAGTACCTTTTTCCTAAATAGTTCTAGCTTTGCTTCCTTGATTTCATATGAATTAAATAATGATATGATATATAACCTGTAATTTTGGTTGAGTAATTTTCTCTAGGGTTATAACTGTATGTTTTTTTTATAGCTTTTTTAGAGTTTTAAAATTGATTTTGGAATAAGGCTATGTTGTAGTCAAGATTCTATTTTTAATTTCTATTTCTATTTCTATTTATATTTTTAGAATTGATTTTTTAGTCTAATTTTTATTTTTAATGTATACATTGTTGTCAAGATAATAAGATTATGTTGTTGAGTGTTGAATTCTTTATGAACAATGGTTTATAGTTTTTATCATATACATTTGTACTACTAGTTTTCTCTTTTTCTAACCATGTATATTATATTTTGAAAAATACTATCATAAGCTCTATCTTTGATATAGTAGAGGTTCAAAAATATGGTCTATTGTGTATGGAAAATTTATAGTTTGAGTGTGAGTGATATTATTAGAACTCACTTTGTCTTCTAAATTACTTCATAAACAATATTAAATATTTCGTACCTATAATAAAATTTTAAAAATTAACAATTGAGAATAGTTTATTAAGAAATGCATTAGCTTTAACATTTTGGACTCTGTTATATGATTTTTGAAAAGAGTTCTTATTATTTTAATAGTTACTTGAGAATTAGACAAATTTTGATTAATTGCTTCATACCAAATGTATCTTTTTCTGACGTTGTTAAATGCGATTCCAAATGTTGTTGTTGATGTTGTTAATGTTGATGTTGATGTTGTTGATGAAAACATGAATTAATTTTGTATGTTAATTTGTTATAGGGTACTTGTGAAGATTGTGACCGTTTCCAAGAATCTTACTGCGTATTCTAAAAGTTGTTGACTTCTCTACAGTTGCTACAGGTAATCACTATTGTTGTTTAACTTAGTTTAGTTTAGCCTACTTAATTAGTATGGATAAAAAATGGATGTCTTCCAATCGATTGTCAAAAGAGTACGAGAATGGGGTATCAAGATTCATTAAGTTTGCTATTGAACATGCCAAAGACTCCAGTTGGATCACATGTCCTTGCTTAGGTTGCTGTTATGGGCGTCAGATTGATGTAGTTCAGTTGAAATCTCATTTAAAGAGGCATGGAATTGATCGAAGTTATACATGTTGGACATTACATGGTGAGATACATAACGATAATGTTGAACCGAAGGATAATACGACCTATGCTTCAAACGACAATGACACAAATACATACGACTATGATCGAGTCGAAGAGATTGCAGAAGCACTTGAAGAAGATCTTCAGGATTGTTCCAAAATGTTTGAGAGGTTGATAAAAGATGCAGAGAAACCATTGTATAAAGGTTGTACTACTTTTACAAGATTGTTTGCGGTATTAAAGTTGTACAACTTAAAGGTGGGCGATGGATGGTCGGATAAAAATTTCACAAAGTTATTAGCCCTCATGAAAGAGATGCTTCTGGAGGATAATGTTCTTCCCAATCGAACCTATGAAGCCAAAAAAATGTTGTGCTCATTGGCATGAGCTATGATAAGATACATTCTTGTCCAAATGATTGCATTTTGTTTCGAAATGAATATGCATCATTAAACGGGTGTCCTAAATGCGATGTATCTCGGTATAAGAAAAAATAGGTACTCCTACATTAATTGATATATATGCACAGAAAATGTCAATTATATCCTCCGATTTCAATAGCTTTATGATCTTATACATTAATTACCTAACTTATATGATTTTTAGGTTCATTCTCAAGAGTTGCAACAAGTCAGCAAGGGTAAGAAGCCTGAATCTAGCAAGGTGTCCAACAAAAAAAAGACCAAGCCAAAAAAAGCATTTGTTCCTCGATTTAGGTTGTGCCTTGAAACATATGTAGGAACAACAAATGTGGTGGAGGGTGGCATTCATCAAATACCTATGAATGAAGGTATTTTCGGTTTTGCTTATGCCGAAACAATTGTTAATAGGATTTGGATCAGATTTTCCAACATTCTGAATTAGGCATCGGTGTTATACATTCATACATCAGGTACTCCGATCAATTTTAATTAAATAATTAAACAATTTATTTGCTCATTTCAATGAATATTCTAATGTTGATTATATTTTTATTTAAGGCTCTTGTATGACAAGTTGTTGGTCCCGCATCAATTGACAAAGAGATTCGCATTCTTATCTTCTAGATGTATCAACGCACGGTTAATCGATCACACTCCAGATGTAGTCAGAGATTACTTAGTCCAAACATTTATGACTACAAATACAGAGAAGTTGTATTTTTTGCCATATAATACTGGCCATGGGTTAGATTTCATTCTAAATTTATTTATTATAATTATTCGTTTTTTAACATTCTATATAACATTTTCGTCTAAACTTTTGTCTTGTTTTACAGTAGACACTGGTTGTTGGTTGCGATTAATCTGATAAAAGAAATAGTGTATTATCTGGATTCATTGGATGAAGATCAAACAAAATATCCTGATATGAAGAATATGGTTGATACGTAAGTGATGAGATATATTGTTCTGAATAATTATCTTTATTTATTATGTGAGGTTGTTCTAAATGTTCGTTTATATTATGTTAGAGCTATACAATATTCCGATCATAAAGACAACCAAAAGTACCAAAAAGTAAGGCTAACGACATTAGTTGAATCAGAGTGCAGATATATTTTCACAATTTTGACTATTATAGTTATTCTACTTGATAAAACTAGTTAAACTATATATCCTGATATATATTTGTTTGTTTTTTCCATTTACAGTGTCCTCGTCAGCACAATGGGATTGATTGCAGATATTTTGTATTGAGGTTTATGAAGGAAATTATTCATTCGGGTCAAATTGAGATTCCAAGCATGGTATGGATTTATAAGTTATATGATTTATTTTAATATTTAACTGATATTTCATTTGAGTAATTAGTTTTAAAACTAAATCATGCATATTATGTAGTACTTGAAAGACAAATTGGAAGAAATTAAGGAGGAATGATGTCAATACATTATTGAGATGAGAATTGTATAAGGTATATATATATTGTCTTTCTATCTTTTGATCGGAGTTTATAGAGGTTTGTGTTGTTGTGATGTTATGTACATATTACTGGATAATTATAGTTCTGGAAGTCGTTATAGTTTTGGAATTTGTTGATATACTTCTAGAAGCTAGTTGTTGTGAGAATCCGGAAATATGGAGTTTGTAATTATATATATAGTGAATATATTTGTGAAGTTATCGGTTTTGGAATATATTTTAGAATTATGGATCGTTTCTGTTGATTTATAATATTTTATATATATATATATATATATATATATATATATATATATATATATATATATATATATATATATATATATATATATATATATATATATATATATATATATATATATATATATATATATATATATATATGTGTGTGTGTGTGTGTATGTGTGTGTGTTGAAATAAATGCTTGTGTTGAATTACAATGATTATAAGCAGGTTTATGTGTTGAATTGTTATGGTATATATAAGGTCAAAGTGTTGAAATAAAGTCTTGTGGTGAATATAATTGTTATAAGAAGGTTTATATGAAAAATTATAAAGAATTGTGCAACAAAATTTAACAAAAATTACTTCATAAAAGTATGCAAAATAGACAGCGCTGCTAAAGGTGGGGGAATAGATAGCGCTTTTAATAAAAAAGCGTTAGCTAAAGGTATTAAAGAAATATAGCCAACCTAAATTATTAATCATCAATTTTACATATATCTTTTCTTATGTTTCCAACTTATTGAATTTGTTTCTCAGTCTTCTTTAGTTGAGTTGTAGTTGTTCCTTCTAATGTAGTTGAGTTACATGTCTTTTAGTGAAATTCTGATGGTGATTTTGATGATTCTTCCCTTGCATTTCATTTTGATTATTTTCTTGAACTCCATCTTGAATTTGAATGTCGTGTATTTGCATGGGATCCTTATGATGTTTCTCAATTGACTGGTTTAAGTGACTCTGAAGTCTCATCCCCTTAAAAACTTCCTGCTAATGTGCAATAGTTGCATCTATTTCCCGAGATTTATATATTCTCATTTTTATTTTATATATAGGACTTTTGCTTACAATTACTATTTGACTAAATGTATTTATTTTTATCTTATATTTTTGCTATTATATTTGCTGACTAAATTTATAAAAAAAAATGACTAGAATGACTTTTTAATTAAAAAGATGTGAAAAGTTTAGAGAAGAGTGAAAAAGTTATTGCAAAATGGGGGATGATAGTAAAGTATAAATTTTGCAGAAAATTTATATTGAAGAAATGGAAGCGTGTAATATGCCAACTTCCCACTTCAGTAAAGAAGGGTGGAAGAATATAACTGAAAATTTTCAATAGAAAACTGAATATGCTTATGATCTTACTAGAATAAAGTATAGATGAGACACATTGAAAATAGAGTTTTCATCATTTGTGAAGTTCATGGATAAGAAAACTAGAGTAAGCTAGGATCATGAAAAGAAAATAATTTTGGCTGACGATAATTTTATTAATTGCATGCATTTTTCTATGATATTTGTTTTGGATATTTATTATTTTTTAGATGGATCCATATATTTTTAAACGAAAACATGGAAGATTTAAGTTTATTGAGTTGCTTGATAAAGGTTTTCATAGCTATTAGATTCTCCCTTTACAAAACATGGTGGTTTTTGCAATTTTTATAATAAACTAACTAACTACCTAACTAACTAACTACCTAACTAACTAATAACAAACTCTAACCAACTATTATATATATATCATCATATTTGGAAGAGTTAGATTTCAAAGCCTCACTCAAATCATAGTAAGACCCGACCATGGCCACCAATTTCAATTTTCCCATTCATTGCCCTGCCAACTTACAACCCTCATGTGAGCAAATTAGGGCTGTAGTCATCCTACTTGCCACGCTTTCATTTTCTGCCTCGATGATCTTCTTGCTAGTCATCACTTTTGGCCACTCTAATCTCAAGTTCCACATAACTGATGCTTCTCTCACAAACTTCAACCTCACAAGCAACAACGCTTTGGATTACAAATTAGAAGCCAACATCACATCAAGAAATCCCAACAAGGACGTCGAAATATACTACATGAAGATCACCGCAATTGCATGGTACAAAGATAATGAGTTTGCTAGAGTGAGTCTGTCATCTTTTGATCAAGGCCACGAGAATACCACTTTTCTGCATGTAGTGTTTGAAGGGAAGGGTGTGATCAAACTCAAACCTAAACAACTTTTCGAGTATAATGAAGAGACGCGTGTAGGGATCTATAATGACTTGGCTGTTGATTTGGATCTTTTAATCAGGTGTAAGCTTGGATGTCAGAGAACTTATCCATACAATCCACCATTGGTGAAATGTCGTCGGTTGAGCCTTTCTTTGAATTCTAATGCTAACTCGTCATCAGCACCTTCTTTTCATGTTACAAGATGCAGAACTGGAGCTTTCTTTAGTAATCGTTATTAATCCTGTGTAGGCCTTTAAGATTTGCTTAGTTTTAGTTTTCAGATGAAAAAGTTGTATAAAATCACATGGTGGCGCTAGTATATTCATTTTGATGTCTTTTATTTCATTTCAGTTTTGTTATTCAATGCTTCTAGTAGTGCTTGTTGAATTCTATATTCAGATACAATTATATCAACATTGAGGCCTTCTTTAATCTTCAAGTTATTGACAGAACAATTATTATTATCTTTTCCAGAATGATGTTGGGATTATAAAATAAAGTGTCCAATTTTAGGTTTAATTAGTGCATGATTTAGTACCTTTTAATTTTAAATTTTATTATCAATAACTCCTTGAAATTTAAATCTTTGGACCTATCAACTCTCTACACTCATCGTCCAATGCTTTTTTAATCTCTTCTATTTACTATACAACTGAAATTGCATGAAGTTTATTTTGCACCTACACAATTTATTGTGCATAGCAAAATGTAAAATTTGATTGTAAGTCTAAACTTTTATTTTGTTTTGATTAAGTAGTTTAATAATTATAATTTTAATTCTTAAAAATAAATAAGTGGAGATAACAATGTCCTACCAAAAACTAATAGAAATTGCAAGACACATTCCCTTTCAAACCTATGGCTAGCCACTTCCATGTAAACATCTTCACTTTATAGACCACCTCTCATACATCACCAATCCCTCTATTAAAAATATATCGTTTCTACTATTCTAAATGACACCACTCATAGAGATATTTTCAAATTGAAACCATGAAATAAAACATGAATAAATAAGATAGCTCAAACAATTACATACAACATTAAGATCATTATTTAGAAAAAAAATCTGCAAATTTCTACAAAATTCTTTGGTTGATGTGGTTCAATAATGCATTTGTTGGTGTCTGTCAATAATGGTGAAACAGTTGCAACAGAAAGATGTAGAACGTAGAGAATAACATAAAAGCTTCATTAATGAAAATGAAAGCTAACAGAATCTGTTACAATTCATAATCAACCAATAACCTAAAGAGGAAATATATAGCAGAGTTGGAAAAACCAATCATAACCTGTCAGCTCACCTAATACTCTATATATGTATATTATCTATTAATAAGGAAAAGGGAAAAATAATCTATATATGTACATGTATGTTAATACACCCCCTCAAGTAGGACTGTGTAGACTACAAAGTCCTAACTTGGACATGATGGAAGAGAAAGCTGGTGAGTGAAGAGGTTTTGTAAAACCGTCTGCAAGTTGATCTGTTGTGGAGACAGGGAGTAAATGGATTAATTTGGAAAGAATTTTCTCACGAACCACATGACAATCCAATTCAATATGCTTGCTTCTTTCATGGAAGGCTGGGTTGTGTGCAAGGTAGATAGCTGACTTGCTGTCGCAATAGACTGAAGCGGGTTGAGCTAAATGAACCTGAAGATCCTGCATGAGGTATTGCAGCCATTGAATTTCACATGTGAGGGAAGCTAGAGCCCTGTACTCAACTTTAGTGGAGGATCTTGAAACTGTATTTTGCTTCTTAGATTTCCAGCTGATAAGGGATGAACCAAGTATGACACAAAAACCAATAATGGATCTTCTTGTAGTAGGGCATCAAGCCCAATCAGAATCAGCAAAGGCAAATAATTTGAGATGGCTGGAAGCAGAGAATATAATGCCTCTAGCAGGGCATGATTTCAGGTACCTGAGCACTCTTGTGGCAGCCTGAAAGTGAGAGACCAAAGGCTTGGAGACGAATTGACTAAGATGTTGCACAACAAATGAGATGTCTGGCCTAGTATTAGTTAAATAGATGAGTCTACCAATGAGACGCCTATAACTTGTGGGATCCTCCAACAAGGTACCATCTGTGGGAGACAACTTTAGATTGGGATCATAAGGAATGGGAGTTGGCTTAGCTCCAAGGAATCCTGTATCCTCTAAGAGTTCTAGAGTATATTTTCTTTGATTCATGAATATCCCTTTTGTTGATCTTGTGATCTCAAAACCCAGGAAAAATCGAAGAGAACCAAGATCTTTGATTCGAAATTTTTGATCCAGAAACTGCTTGACATTCTGAATTTCAAGCATAGAATTTCCTGCAACCACTATGTCATCTACATAAACAAGTATAACAGTGAAGAATTCTTTATGGGATTTGACATATAATGAGTGATCAGCTTGGGATTGTGCATAGCCCAATGAAATTAAGATAGATGATAATTTTGAAAACCATTGCCTATTAGCTTGATTAAGGCCATATAAAGATTTTTGTAATTTGCAAACCTGAGAAGGTTTAGAAACAAAAATGCTAGGGGGAAGAGTCATATAGACCTCTTCATGCAAATCACCATGGAGGAAGGCATTGTTGACATCAAGTTGTTCAACATACCCTCACAGTAGTTATTTTGGCCACAGGAGAAAAAGTATCAAAGTAATCAATGCCTTCCATTTGTGTGTATCCCTTGGCTACAAGTCTAGCCTTGTATCTTTCAATGGAACCATCAGCCTTGTATTTTATCTTATAAACCCACCTGCAGCCACTAGGAACTTTTCCTGGTGGAAGATCAACAACACTATAAGTCTGGTTTTCTTCCAGAGCAGATATTTCAGCATTCATAGCAAGTTTCCAACAATCTAGTTTGATGGCTTGGTTAAATGTTTTTGGTTCAGTATTGGAAGAGATAGCACAACAAAAATGTTTATAAGAAGGAGAACAATGATCATAAGTCAAGACAGATGACAAAGGATAAAGCACATTCGATTGATGTTGGGAAGTGGTGGAGTAGCAGTGATAGTCCTGCAAATATTGAGGTGGATTAGAAGTTCTAGATGAATGCCTAGTGGGTAAAGCAGTGTTATCTGCTGCTGAAGGTACAATAGGTACAGAGGAGTCTAAAGTATGATTAAAGGTAGGAGAAGGATTTGTGGTATTAAAAGGAGAGTTGTCATTAAGATGAGGAGTGGGAATAACCATATCAGGTGTAGTACCTGAAGCAGTGACAGGACTGGGACTAGGACTGGGTGAATTGATAGGCTGCGGGGTGGTGTCAACATCACTGTCCTGAGGTGACACATATATGGTAGGGGAGTGGTCCATTGTGGGACTTAGATGTTCAGTAGGATTGAGATGAGGGTTTTCATTGGGAATATCATCAAGAAGGGAAAAAGTTTGATTGGTATTATCTAGAGAAGGTTGAACATCCTTAAAGGGAAACACAGTTTCATAAAAAATGACATTCCTAGATATGAAAATGTCATGAGTTTGAAGGTCATACAATATATACCCTTTGGTACCATCTTTATAACCAATGAAAATGGCTTTCCTAGCTCTAGGGTTGAATTTGGTTATGTGGGCTTGGAGGGAGGTGGCATAGGAAAGGCATCCAAACACTTTTAAATGGATCATGGAGGGGGGCTGCTTGAATAAGAGTTCATGAGGGCACTTAGAGTTAAGGAGAGGGGTAGGGAGCCTATTTATGATATGAATTGCATGTTGAATGCAAAAGTTCCACATAGACAAAGGAATGTTGGAATGAAAAAGGAGGGACCTAGCAACATTTAGTATGTGTTGGTGTTTTCTCTCCACCACACCATTTTGTTGAGGTGTCTCAACGCAAGTTCTGTGGTGGAGAATTCCTTTGGCCAGAAGGAAATCAGACAAGGTTAAAAATTATGTGCCATTATCTGTCCGTAAGCATTTTAAGGTGGTTTGAAATTGATTCTCTATGTATGCTACAAAATTTATGAGGCCAGATCTGGTTTGATCTTTGGTTTTAAGAAAGATGACCCATGTATGTCTAGTATAGTCATCAACAAGAGTCAAAAAAATACTTGTGGCCTAAAATAGAAATAGTAGAGAAGAGACCCCATAAATCAGCATGTAAAACAGTGAAAGGAGCATTAGATTGAGACACACTATTAATAAAAGGAAGTTTCTTTTGCTTAGCAAATTGACAAGAATCACAAGGAGCATTGTTATTATTACAAGTAATGAAAGGAAAAACTTTTGAAATGGTATGTAAACCTATATTAGAGATATGTCCTAGTCTCATGTGCCATAAATTACATGAAGTGTGAGCAACAAAATTATTAACAAAAGAATGACCAGCTGTGGAGTCCAGAACATAAAGTCCCTTGTGCAGTTTAGTTATACCAATCATTTCCTTGGAATGATTTTGCACAATATGGCAAGCATTGGAGTTAAATTGGACAGAACAATCACTACTATCAACAAGTTTGGCAACAAAGATAAGGTTAACATGAAAACTAGGAGCATAGAGTACATTGTTCAAAACAAGGGAAGGGGAAATAACTGTACCACAAATAGAGGCAACAGTCTGTGATCCATCGGGTAAACTAACAGGAATAGGGATGATAGACTTATGATCAATGAAAGAAGATAAACTAAAGGTAAAATGGTCTGTAGCCCCAGTATCAAGGATCCAAAGGTTAGGATTCTTACCATTCATTTGGGAGGAGTGAGAATTCAGGATAAAAGGAGATGTGGAGACTGAATTAACAGTGGGATTTGGTTTAGATTGTTGGAGAAGTGCCAAGATGATGTCATATTGCTCCTTAGTAAAACCAAATGAGGAGGATGATGAACTTTGAGAAGCTGAATCTGTGGTGTTGTTGACACTAGCAGTAGTCGGGGCAGAAGAGGAGGAATGACCTTGAGCTTTACCCTTCACTTTGTTAAAACCAGGTGGATATCCATGCTTGAGAAAGCATGTTTCAACAGTGTGATTAACCCTGCCAAAATGTGTACAAACCCTATTTGTGCCTCTTGGAGCATTGTTATTTGGGGACTTCCCTCGATAACCATATGAACCTTGGTTAGCAGTGTAATTTTCCTCATGTGTCTGAGTCTGAAGAGCAGAAGTTTCTTCAGTGGCTCCAGTAAATGGAACAGTATTGGAAGCAGAACTGTCCGTTTCTCTTTCTTGCTAAATAACAAGGGAGAAAGCCTTGTCAATGTCAGGGAGAGGATTAATCATCATAATTTGAGATTTTG